AAAAAAAAAAAAAAAAAAAAAATACGAAATTTAAAGTAGAGATACACAATAAAGTTAAGAGATAATTTGATTATATCTGGTGCAAATATGCTCAAAATCATTATGCTAGTTTCTAGAGAAGATGCAATGTCATAAAACAAATTTTGTGATTGGCGCAAGAGATTTCAGGACTATCAATAGAATTTTGAAAAAAAAAGAGAGCTTATCTAGGATGGCTTAGTATTAAGTGACTAATTTTTGTTTCCTAAAATTAAAAAACTGATAGGACACCACCATCGTGGGATGTTAAAGAGAATTAAAGAAACTGATAACTTGCTATTTATAAGGTCTCAGTTGAGGCCTTGAGTGCTTATGAGTAGTAAGTGAAATTATGAAATATAATTTTGTGTCAGTAGCAGAAGAAAACTTAAGAAAGTTTTGATTCATATCCAACAAATTATGAAAAAAAAAAAAATGAAATAATCAGAAGTTTTAGAAATGTTCAAGGATGGTGTAAAATTTACACAATTCTAAAATATTGCTTTTAGAATTCTAACTATATTATAAAATTGATACCCTATATTATTTGAAATAGAGTTCAACCTTTAATTCTAGTTTACATAATTTGTTTCATTCCATTTTGCATTGAATTTTAATGTAATACATTTTGTTTAGAGGATTAAAATCCAATTAGAAGAATTGACAATTGATGTCATTGAAAACTCAGTAATTGAGATGAAAGGAGAATTTAAATTATTGGCTATAGATAGTTTATTAATTCATGATGACAAAGATCTTTCCCTGAAACAATGTATGATTAAAAAGTACTTCCAGTAATTCCTTTTATTTGATTTAATTATTATTTTATTTTATTACAGGTAATTTTTCTTTAAAAGCAACTTTTGAAAATTTATTTTTAACAGGACAGGAAGAAATATATGTATCATTAAAATCATTTGTATTTGATGTTAAGGTAATTTTTTTTATTTAAAAATCATATATTAGGTGATTGATTTATCATTGACACAGAGTTGTCCTTATGGGGAACTAACAGAGTTCTGAACCTTTCATTTTTTTTTGTTAAATTAGGGTCTTATGCTTTAAAAAAAAATTGGCATTAACTGTATTATAATTATTTTTAATTGTATTTGTATTCATATTAATTTAATTGTATATGTTCATTTTTAGTATTTTCTACTTCTATCATTTATAAATTGTTTTTTTGTTTGAAAATTTAATTTATGGTCATAGAACAGTTGACAATCATTAAAAGCAATTTTCGTATGAAAACTAAATAAAAATAATGAAAATGTGTTAGGGAAAAAAAACTTTGCAAGAGTAATAAAGTACCCTCATCACAAGTTCTTTCATTAAAAATTAAATTTAAACAGTCCTAAAAATATTTTTGATTAGTATTTCTATTATACTTGTCCAGACACCTCAGTGCTTTGTGATACATATATATATATATATATATGTGTGTGTGTGTGTGTTATATGTTATTTATGAAGGGAAGGTGTGGGCGAGTCGGTAACACTGCAGTGCCTGATGCGCACTGCCTCGAGTTCAAAACTTAATCACGGGCGGCTTTATTTGCCTGATGAGAGATCAATTTGGTAATTGTAGTCGTCTTCCCTCTCTCTGGCGACAGACTAACCATCATAGTGTTGCTGAATATTAACATTTAAAAATTTCATTGATTATTCATTAATTAAAATTTGTGTACTTTTTAAGGTGCCTATGTTAGTATTTTCTTTGGTTTTAATTCATTCTCATTACTTATACGTCACCTTCTTAGGAATTATGAAATTAATTGTTTCAGTTTATTTGATAATCTTGGACTAATTTTATCTCCTCCATTGTATATTACTGTATTATTAAATTTTTTTTTTTAATTTTAATAGTTTATAGTAATTATTCTCTAATGATTAATAATAGTTATTTTTTATAGTATTTGAAAAATGTATTGAAACTCGATATCAGAGCAAATGATTTATATGCTTTATATTCTCATGATGAATTTTTTTTGTGGTATACATTATATACAAATCCTATATTGAAATCATACCAGGTAAATATATTTTTTATCTATATTCTCTGTGATGAGAAAAAATTTAGAAACTAAGATTCCTGATCAGAAAGTGTCAAATTTCGGAAATTATAATTTTATTGAATTATTAAGATGTTGTTATTACTACAGGTATATGAAAAACTTTATTAAAATAATAATTGGAATATTGCAGTTCAAGTGACTATTGTTTTATCAATATTTAACAATAATTTTTAATTTAAATTCATATCATATAATTAATTATTTGTAGTGTCCTACTAAAAATTATATCAGATTTCTCATGGCTTAATTTTGGTTCTATAAAAATGTTATGTTTACATGACATCAGTACACCTTGAGAGGTGTATTAATGAGGGAGCTCAAACTCTTTAAGGTCTTGTAACAACCAAAAAATGTTTTTTTCTTCCAAAAATGTATTATAACTTTAACCAGAAATTTAGCAGTATGTTTTTAACAATTCTAAACAAATTTTTTTTTAAGTTGCAACAATATTGATCTGTGTATATGGTATTAATTTTTTTTAAGACACCTAGAGAGACATAATTAATGAAATCAATTATTTATTTTTTAGTTATTATCTGTTGATACTTCGAAAACAAAACAGAAATTAACTACTTCAAATAATATATTAGATGCTTTAGGTTTTGATATTTTTTTTCTAATACATAATGTTACAACTACATTTAGATTATCTAATAAATCTGTATCAGTGAATTTAAGCAAATTTAAGTTAATATCATCATATAATCCATTAGATCAAAGTAAGTATTTTTTTTAATAAATAGTATTGATATTTTCTAAACTATTATGTATTTATCTTATTAGTAAATCTAAGAGAAGTGTCTAGTTCATATTTTCAAAAATGGAACTGTGATTTACACATAGAAACTTTACGATGTTGTTTAAAACCATTTTCAAATACTATGTTCAGTCCTGGAATGAGAAAGTGTCATTCATGGGGGACACCTTTATTCATAGGATTATTATTATTACAGGTATATTATACATTTTTAATTAATCATTAGAGTGAGAATCGGCTGTCTAAATGTTTTTTGTATTATTGTAAAATAAATCAGTTTAGATAATACAAATAAATTTGAACCATATACAGTAAAGTTATAATATATAATGAATTCAATAACTTTTGATCTAATTAATATTTTATGTTCATTTTTTTTTAAATTAATTTTTATATTTTAAGACTATACAAATAATATAACATGCCATATATTTTTAATTTATTAAAAAATTTTAAAATTTAAAAAAAAATGTAAGCAAAATTCAAGATAGCCATTTTGTATAGTAGATTTTAATAGAAATTTGGTAAACCATATTAATTAATGTTCAGTAGTAAATTATCTGTAGCATTTTAAAGTTTATGAAAATTTGAATTTTTGTTTATTTTTTATTATTAAACATTACAATATGAATTGAAAAGAAAATAGAAGAAAATTAGATCTTTTCATGCAAAATATTAGTTATAAGTATATAACCATTATATTACCTTGTTTTAAATTAATTTTTTTTTTTTTTTTTAGATCAAAAAAAGTACCCCTTTATATATTCAAAAAATAAATATTTCATTGGATATTGTTCGATTAGAATGGAGTCCACCTTTAGCTCTATTTATATTGCAAGCTCATTACAGTATTCAACAGTATGTACACAGAGATGTCTTATAAAAAACTCTTTAACGATATATATTTTTTTAAAGATTTGTTAGTACAACTTTAGAAGAAAAAAAAAGTAATATAATGAATGAAGAATTTACTTTTTCAAGAAAAAAAAAAAAAAAATTATTTCAAACTTATGGATTTTATATTTCAGTAACTAATACTAATGTATTTCTTATAGCTGATAAAAAGAGTATGTGTTAATAAATGAATTTAAAGCAATTAAAATAAGATTATTAATAGAATTATTTTTTATAGTCTGTTTACTTATATGTATTGACACAACTACTATAGATATGGAAAAATCAAAATTAATTTGTTTGATTAAAGGTTTTAAATGTGATTCATTGATACCTACCAAGCATCATTATGTTTGTACATCATCAAATGATATAAAAGTATTTATGATATAAAATTTTTATGAATGACTGCTTACGTTTTATATATTATTAATTAAACATTTATTTACAAGAGTATTATATTATTTACATACAATATAAATTTTATACTTTTAGTTAATTAATTAATTTTTATTTTTAAGGGCTGGTGGTTATATGCTAAGTCTTTAAACATGAAAACATTGAATGCAAATACTAAAGATATTACAGTAGAAATTATTGAAAACTTTGAATTTCGTTGGAGCACGAACATTCACTTAAAATTGTTAACTATTTACTCTGATTTTAATGATTTTATCAATAATATCAGTAATTTTTATTTATATTGTATTTTTATTACTTTATTAATCAAAATTATTTTATAGATACCAAAAAAACGAATTCAGAGAAAACAACATCTGACCCATTGTTTGATCAAATATTACTAAACATTAAATCAAAGTTTAAATTTTATATGAAAGTTTCCACTGGTCATTATTTATTATTTTCTACAGGTATTATTTTAAATTTATTTTATTGATCTATACAGATTATTTAAAAATACTGCAAAAAATATATTGTGTAATATTCTGAGACTACAGAAAATTATTTAATGTAAAAGAAGAATTGGGTACTATACTTTTGTCCCTCGAAAGTACATTGATGTATAGTGTAAGACAAAAAGATAAAGGCACAGAATTGTCGTAATTTAAAATAAACTTTGTTGTAGTTTAAAATAATAATAATTAAAAGTGTAATAGGAAATCATATGTGGTATTAAACTTTGTGGTGAACGCTTTTCGAGAGTATGGGGCAGTGTGGTTTGAGGGTCTGTTATTGCTTGTAATGACATGCACATTAAATTGGAATAATCTTACCTGAATTATGTGATCTTTTAATAGTGCAGTTTTTACTTGTGGAATGATAATAAATATACAAACTCAAATAATCACTAATTTGTATACAATGTTTTTAATAAGTTAATTATTATAATAATATAAAATAGTAATAGAAAAACTAACGATACAAAATTGACATAAAAAAGAAATCATACAATAAAATGTTATAATCAGTTTTTACAAGCACTATTGACACAAAAGTTATTTTTACAATTTTTACGGATAGGTGAAAGAAAACTAGACGTGTTCACATTGGGGTAAGGTCAAAACAGAACAGGACACTAGCCCAGGGATGTTCTTTGGCATTTCCCAGGTCCCCTTCCATAGATATGCATAATCATCGTCCGGATCTCATTGGGTTTCACATTTTAGGTCTTTTATAATCTGTTTACATCGTGAAAGAAGTTCTTTAACTATGTACAATATAGAGTAACATTCGACATTTGATTATTTAACGTTTGCATGTGTTGGGAAGGAACGAATGTGTGTGGTGTGATCGTGAGAATTTTGTATTTGGCTGTTTTAGAGGATAGAAAATGTTGATTATGTTTTGTATTTTATGTATAGGGCCTATTATAACAAAATTTAGTCTAATAAAATTCTATATTTATTTCATGAAACTAGTTGTTATTAATACAAATATAATTTATAGATTCTATGTACTACTAAACTTCAGGTTATATCCAAATAATAGCAATCTTATCTTATTTTCTTGATCATAAATCATATAAAGACTTATCGATGAATTAATTAGGTTTTGTTGTGATATAACCATAGATTAGTGATTGTATGATCAAATTACCTTTATGTAATACTTCTACTATACTTAATACAACTTAACAGTATATACTGTATTAGCATAATTTGTATAGTATTGTTATTAATTATTATATAATTTACCATAAGAAGAGCAAAACCATTACCAATTGAAGAACGAGTAAAAATTATGGCATACAAGGAATATGATCTTTCAAATTGGAAAATATCGCATAAACTAAATAAGAGTTTCATGGTTATAGATAATTTTGTAAAACTTTTCCAAAATTATAATTCCAAAAAGTCTACAACTTGATTGCAAGTATTAAATGATCATGAGTAAAGAGCAATTTTAAGAGTTGCATTGTATTTTGCTTTGTCTGCATGTGGTATTCTCAATCAATGTGGTGTGAAAATAAATATTCATAACTTACAAAGACTGTTAAAATGCACACCAACATTCATTTGAAAAACTTTTACAAAAACTAACATTAAATGAATGTAATAAAAATGCAAAATTGAACTTTTCAAGAAACAAAATGAATTGGTTAAAAAGATGGAGAAAAGTAATTTTTTCGGATGAAAAAAAATTTAATTTGGATGGATGTGATCGATTTTTGCATTACTATCACGGTTTAAGAAAAGATGAATGTATAATGTCAAGATGTCAAATGGGAGGAGGATCTGTAATCATTTGGTATACAATTGGTTATAAAAGACGAAGTGAACATTTCTTTTAGATGATAGAATAAATGCTTTGAAGTAAGCATTCTCAGGGTCTTCTTAACACCCAAAAGTCATGTTTTTGGCAAATAGCAGAAAGAAATTTTATATTTCAGCAGGATAATGCGCCAATCCATACTGCTCAAATCATAAAATTATGGCTTGAAACAAATTCTACATCAAATATTAGATAACCTGCGCAATATTCAAGTTTAAATATTATTGAAAATGTTTGGGGACGACTCGCCAAAGAAGTTAATAAAGAGGCCAAATAATATTCTTCAGTTTGTAAGTGGAAACTATCAATTTTAGATGCTAATTTCTTAAGATGTTATAAAAAAGCTTTATGATATAATTCCAAAAAGAATTTTTGCCATTATTCGTACTAATAGAGGTTCCATTAAATATCAATATATTAAAATTATGTATATAAACATTAATAAATATAATAAATTTTGTAATATCGAATAGTTTGTTTATATATAGATATTTACCTTTATAATTTTGTTACAAATTTTATTTATTAGTTCATGATTAAAAAAATAAGATAAGATTGCTAACATTTCAGTATAACCTAAAGTTTAGTAATACTTAGATTCTATAAATTATATTTGTATCTTTGGATATGGTTTAATTAAAAAAAAAATGTTGGATTATTCCAAAAGCAACATGATCTCCTATTTCGTTATTTATATCCTGATTACAAGTTTTATAATTTTAAATGTAATATATGAATAAATATTTATTATAGCGATTAAATAGAGTATGAAATTAATATTTAATAATTTAGTATTGTAATTTTTTACAAAAATTGTATTTTTTTTTATAATCTGTATTTTCTGTTTTTACCATGAAAACAAAAAATACGAAATTTATTTTTTTCATATTAAAATATATTATATAAGCTTTAATTTAACCTATATATAAGTGTCAGTATTTCCGAAACATTTTTCAAAATTTAGTTGAAAAAGTTCTTTTTTCTATATGTATTTTTATGTTTTGAACCTCCCCTATATAAAGGGAAATATTCTGATTTAAAATAAAATTATGTCGCACAAAAGAAGTGTATAAATAGTAATTATTAAAAAGAATTGTACTGATCCATAATTTTTTCAAAATGTATTAGCATTATAATGTTAAAAATGTAAAATATAAAATCGAGAATATTAACACAAAAGTAGAATACAATATCCATTTTTACCCTGAAGATAGAATAAAGTTCGAAATATTTTTTCGGATAATTTTTAATTCCCCCCTGTAGGCACGTAATAGGTCAGATTTATAAAAAAAAAATAAACGGTAGCACAGTGGGGTCGCGGCATATTGGAGACATTACATAGTTAGGTCCAGTATAGATTTAATCTGAAAGTGATTAAAAGTGATTTATCAAAAGTAAAAAAGTTACTATTTTAAATCCCCCCTAATGAACAGGTTAAGTGATAGATTTTCAAAAAAATGATATCAAATGAAAGGTAGATATCTAAGGTTTTAGTATAAAAAAAAATTATGTTGATTTGTCGATTTTTCAAAAAGTTATGGAAGTTTTAAGAAAAAAAAGTGNAAAAAAAAATTATGTTGATTTGTTGATTTTTCAAAAAGTTATGGAAGTTTTAAGAAAAAAAAGTGAAAAAATTTCGAAAATTAGCGATTTTTAAATTTGTAATTTTTTTGGATATTTCCCCCATTTGCGGGGAACGAGGGAATTTTTTTCAATTTTTAAAAGTAATGTCTTCAACTAGATACAATTTGTGATGTTTTGACGTACTTTTCATTTTTAAACATAATCAGTATATAAATATGGAAATATAGCTTTTGTAATAATCCACCAATTTTTTTAAAATTAAACACTATCTAAATATTTGCATAGAAGTGTTTTTTATGATTGTGATTTTAATTACTGTCAGATATCATTATACTTGATCCAACTATGCCACGTCACTACTGTGCTGAGGCCCTCCTGTGCTGGGTTTTTTTTATCGAATTGTTCAATAAAATATATCTAGCACAGAATTGTCCAGCACTTAGTTTTTATGACATCCCTTTAAGCTCCTGTTTATGCTATTGTAAGTTGTAAAGTATGAAAAGAATTTTTTTTTTAGCTTCGATGCGAAGCTGAGAAGGTATTAATTTTACCATGATGTGTTTATTTTTTTTTTTTTTTTTTTTTTCAAAATGATTACCTTTAACATATTAAAAATCAAAATCAGTATNTTTTTTTTTTGTGTCTGTCACTACTTTTTCTCAGCTCTCACTGGACCGATTTCTTTTAACAATACGTCAAAAGATCACAAATTGTATCTAGTTGAAGACATTACCCTTAAAAATTTAAAAATTTTCCCTCGTTCCCCGCAAATGGGGGAAATATCCAAAAAAATTACAAATTTAAAAATCGACAAATTTTGTCATTTTTTTCACTTTTTTTGGTTAAAACTTCCATAACTTTTTCAAAAATCGACAAATCAACATAATTTTTTTTTATACTAAAACCTTAGATATCTACCTTTCATTTGATATAATTTTTTTGAAAATCTATCACTTAACCTGCTCATTAGGGGGGATTTAAAATAGTAACTTTTTTACAAAAATTAATTTTTTCAACTTAATTTTTGAAAATGTTCCAGATATACTGCGTCCTTCAAACATATATCAAATTAAAGATTTTTTTATGTACTATAAAATGAAAAAAAAAAAATTTGACCCGGCGACCTATCTTCTGTGCACAAATGGCTACCGTATTCAAATATATGCTATTTTTCTATTAAAATTCTAGGTTTTGTATTTATTTTATTTTAAAATATCTTATTAGGAGAATATATTGACTTTCATGAATATTATATAATTTAATTGACATAGAATAAAGGTCATAAGACATAAGAAATTAATCTTATTAAATTTTTTTTACTTTTTTAAAGTCGAAAAAGTAATTTTTAAATTTGAGTTAGCTTAAATAGTCAATTTTATCGTGCAACGAACAGTTGCCGAATGGTTAACATCCTTATCTTTCACGCCTAGGGTACGATGTTCAAATCCGTCTGTGACTACCAAAATTTTGCATTTTTTGTTTGAGTTAAAATAGAATTTTCAAATCATTTGATATTTATCTCATTTAGATTCAATAATTTCAATAAATATAAAGGATCTTATCACTATAGTCTCCCCTCGTGAGAACAAATTGATATTCATGTTAATATTATTTTACTATGTGGTTCTTTTTGTGGCTACGATTTATTTTGCCAACCCTCACTAGACCTACTTTTTTCAACGATATACGTCAAATGATTCATTTAAGTTTATGATATTTAAGTTAATGATTAGTTTAAGTTATTACTCTTAAAAATCAAAAAAATATTCCTTATTCAAATAAAAAGTAGCTTAACTAGATTTGTCCATACAAACAATTAAAATCATTAATTTTTAATATTCTTAAATTATTTATTGTCGAATTAAATTTGATATGATAAAAGTATTCAACTACAAAAGTAAATAATTTTACTTTATAATTTATTAATTTTTTAACTCTATTTCTGTGTGCTACTACCAGTCTATAATATGCCAAATTTTTTAGTAATATGTTGCTATATAAATCATAAATTTAAAAAAAAAATGATTTTTAGTTTCACCTGAAGTTAACGATGGAGTTTTACAATTATAATTATATTTTTGATAATATGCTCAATTGAGTAAATCTTTTTAACTACTTTGGTTTGATTGGTTCATTTAATTAAAGTAAATTATTAAAATTAATTAAGTTCTGAATATTTCAATTGCAGAATTTTTTTAAACACCAAAAGTTATTAGGATATGATTACTATTCTTTCTATTTCAGTTATCTATTACGATAAAAATGTAAAAAAATCGAATTTTTCTGACAAATGTACTGTAATTAGTAATTATAAAATTTCCAGATTGCATATTAATCTTAAAAATTTCATTTTTTTCAATTTAATAATGTCAATTTCAAACTTGCAAGTTGAACTATAAGTTATGGTAACAAATTCATTTTTTAGCTTCGATGCGAAGCTGAGAAGGTATTTTTCATTAAAACTTTCACTTTAAAAGACAATAAAAAATAGGTTCAAAATGATTACCTTTAACATATTAAAAATCAAAATCAGTATTAATTTAATACAATTTTTTTTGTTCTTAATTATTTTTTTTTATATGTAAATACTTATTTTTTAATAATAAGTAATAATATTAAAACTTAGAAGTAATAGAAAAAGTTTAATTGCACATTTGAAAACATCACGAAAAGTTTATTTAGAAAAGTATATTTTTTTTCTGATGAAAGTTCCTTTTGTTTAGTGTATTTATTCATAAGTAACAAAATTTTTTTATTAAAAAGTATTGCATAAATTCCTTTAAATTTGTATACGCATTAAAAGTATATGAATATACAACTCCTTTTTATTTTTATAATATCTCCGTAAAAATTACAATATTATATTATTGAATACCACTTTCATACTCAATTTAATTACTGTAATTATTATGTATTCATATATTATAGTTATAAATCGGGGTAAAATTAAGGGAATAAGTGTTATTGTTGTTTTTGAAATAATCTACCAATTTCATTTTTTTCTATTTAATAATATTTATTTCAAACTTGCAAGTTGAGTTAAAAGTTATGGTAATAAATTCATTTTTTTTTTATTAAAACTTTCACTTTAAAGAACAAAAAGAAGTAGGTTCAAAATGATTACTTTTAACATATTAAAAATCAATAATAATTTGAAAATAATTAATTATAAAAATTATATAATATATAATTAAAATAATTACTAATCTGGATATAATTAAGGAAATAGGAGTTGATGTTGGGTTGGGTTGGTTACATTTTTAACTTTATAATGCTATAACTCATTGAAAAGTGTACGAATCAACACAATTTTTTTATGAGAAATAATATTTTTTAATAATCCCTTTTTCATTCGACATACTTTATCTTAATCAGGGTATTAATAAGAAACTAGCAGATAATGTAGCTTTTGTAATTATCCACCAATTTCTTAGAATTAAACACTATCTACTGATTTGCATCGAAGCGTTTCTTATGATAGTGATTTTAATCACTGTCAGATTAAATCTATACTGGACCCTACTATGCAACGTCCCACTATGCCGCGACTCCACTGTGCTGGGTTTTTTTTTTATGAAATTTAATATAAAATGGATAAATAATTTTCAGTTTTGTATAATTAAGTTGTTACTCCTAATAACTTTTTCTTAATAAATTCTATAATAGTTCTATAATTAAAAAACTTTTAATTTTTTTTTATTTTTATAAATATATAATTATTGTTAAATTTTAGATGATTTGATTTATCATAAGCAAAGAAATATAATGTTGTTACAATTAGAAAGTAAGATTTTTAAAGTATCAATTGATCAGTATAATATATTTACTATTAAAGGATTTAAAATATTAAAAAAAGAATTTGATAAAGATGTTCAAGCAGAAAGGCAGAACTCTGAAGATCTAATTACTGAAAGGAATGCTGTTTGGTAAAAATATATTTATTGATTATTTAAAATAAACTTATCATGTTTAAAATTAATTTAATTTTAAGGGATGTAACAATAGAAAATTTAAAAATGGTTTTCCCATATGGTTTTGAATTCAATACAATTTTTCAAGGAGAATTCTTCAGTGTTATTAAGTGGTTAAAATTGATTCATAGAAAACCAAAACCAAATCCAGAACCTTTGCCGAGTGATATTTTATTAAAAGTAACAAACATTTTTTCTTATTTAATGTTTTTCAAATGCATGTATGTTTATGAATTGATTTCACATGAACTCGTATAACTATACTCTCAATTAAATTCTATCCTTTTATGGTCTTGTTTTTTTTAAAACATGCTCCAATTATTTTTATTATTATCTCAAATTTTTTCTATGATTGTCACTATTTTCATGCTTTTTTGTAGTGGTTTCTTATTTTGTCCTCTCTAGTCACTTCATACATCAATATTAAAATTTTCATCTGTGTAACTCATTTTACATTTCATTTAGATAATAATACAGACATCAAGTTATTAAAGTTATTAATACTTCAATACCTAAACTGGAGGAGAAGTTAGGCCAAAAAAATTCTAGTGATAAAAAAACAGCACCTGTGCAACACTTCCTTTCATTACTTTAAATTGTTAATAACTTCTGAAATAATAGTCTTAAAGTTGTTATTGCGCCAGTTATTTTCTTAATTAAATAAAATTTTATTTTATAATTATTATTATCATTATCTAATAAATGAACTAGATAATTATATAATGTTGCCATTTTTAAAAATAAAGTTGACACTCTTATAATGTATAAGGAATAAGCAAAAAATATACTTCTTTATTGATAAATTGAGAAGAGCATGTATATAAAATTACCAAAATTTATTTTTATTTCATAAAAAAATCAGCTAGTTCATTGAATTTTGTATAATTATTATGTTTTGATATTATTAAAAAAAATTAAAAAAATAGGTAGTTGTTTAACCAAAGTATTTATTTTCTTATTAAATATTTTGACTTTTATCACTTTTTTTATGATTAAAAAATTGTTATTAAATAGATTCAAGAATTTCTTTTTGAGTTATGTGATGATGATTTCGAAATAAAATTAAGAGATAATTATGAATTACTTGAAGACGAATATAAAGAAAGTTTAAAAAGACAAAAAATGCTTGAAACTAAAGTCTTGGAAGTTGTAAAAGATCGTTTACTTTTACCAGCTGGAAAGGTTGAAGAATTATTAAGTAGTTTGCAGAAAATGAATGCTCAAATATATATCCAACGATCAAAACAAATGAAGCAACAAGTTCGCACCCGATTATTTTCATGGACTTTAAGTAATCTCTGTGTTATTGTACTAGCTGATCACTCCATGCATGGAGCACAAAATGTCGTTAATCATATTAGTGAAATGGATTCTGATAGCCTTTGGCCTGAAGATGGTTTGGAATTTTGTATATTATGGTGTCGTATGATTTTTGCAAGTTGTGTAGAGTGGAAATTTCACCTTAGAGATTTTCCCCAGACTTGGTTTGATATCAGAAAGTTACAACTTTGGGGGAAGTTGGCTGGTGCAGAGCAAGAACCAACTAGACGAGGTAATGTTTGCACTATGAAGTCTTAACATTTTACTTGTTTAAATAATGTTGTAATTTTTTATGTATCAGAATTTTTAGCTTCGATGCGAAGCGGAGAAGGTATTAATTTTACTATGATGTGTTTTTTTTTTTTTATGTCTGTTGCCACTTTTTCTCAGCTCTCACTGGACCGATTTCTTTCAAAAATACGTCAAAAGATCACAAATCGTATCTAGTTGAAGACATTACCCTTAAAAATTGAAAAAAATTCCCTCGTTCCCCGCAAATGGGGGAAATATCCAAAAAAATTACAAATTTAAAAATCGCTAATTTTCGAAATTTTTTCACTTTTTTTTCTTAAAACTTCCATAACTTTTTGAAAAATCGACAAATCAACATAATTTTTTTTTTATACTAAAATCTTAGATATCTACCTTTCATTTGATATCATTTTTTTGAAAATCTATCACTTAACCTGCTCATTAGGGGGGATTTAAAATAGTAACTTTTTTACAAAAATTAATTTTTTCAACTTAATTTTTGAAAATGTTCCGGAAAGACTGCGTCCTTCAAACATATATCAAATTAAAGCTTTTTTTATGTACTATAAAATGAAAAAAATAAATTTGTTCCGACACTTTTTCTTCTACATTTAAACGGCTGCCGTAGTTAAAAAAACACTATTTTTGTGTTAAAATTTTCGATTTTAAATTTTCAACTTAAAAATGCTATAACTTTTTGAAAAATGTATATATCAGCACAAATTTTTTTTTCTAAATACATTATAAGTACATCTTTCATTTGACATACTTTTTATTAAAATTGGACAATTTCCCCTTATATAGGAGGCGTTCAAAACTTGAAATATTGTAAAAAACATAGATCTTTTTCAACTTAATTTTTGAAAATATTCTGGAAATACTGCGTCCTTTAAACATATATAAAATTAAAGCTTATTTTATATACTACAAAATGAAAAAAAAAAATTGTCCCTACGACCTATCTTCTATACGCAAATGGCTGCCGTATTCAAAAATATGCTATTTTTGTATTAAAATTATGTATTTTATTTTAATAAAATTTGATGTTGATTTTGCAATTATCCATCAATTTTTTAAAATTAAACACTATCTACAGATTTGCATCGAAGCGTTTCTTATGATAGTGATTTTAATCACTTTCAGATTAAATCTATACTGGACCTAACTATGTAATGTCTCCAATATGCCGCGACCACACTGTGCTACCGTTTTTTATTTTTATAATTTCTCCGTATAAATTACTATATTAAATTATTGAATATCAATATCATACTAAATTTAATAATTATAATTAGTATGTATTCATATATTATATTTTTAAATCAAAGAACTACTAATTAGGATATAATCAAAGAAATAAGAGTTGATGTTGCTTTTGGAATAATCCACCAATTTCTCTAAATGAAACACTATCTACAGATTTGCATCAAAGCGTTTCATATGATAGTGATTTTAATCACTTTGAGATTAAATCTATACTGGACCTAACTATGTAATGTCTCCAATATGCCGCGACCCCACTGTGCTACCATTTATTTTTAACTCTTAATTCTACAATTAAAAAAAAAGAAAAATTCAGATTCTTAATATAATTTTAATTTTTAATAATATTAGCTACAAATGATTAATTTTTATTATATAACATAGAATTATTTTATATGATATTCAGTAAAAAATCTTTTTTGTTTACTACAAAACACAAATGTACTTTACATTTAATACAAAAGTACATTTGTCATTGTTATATATTATTGTTACACCAAGTCAAATGTTCTTTTCACTGGACTTTTTGTTTTACAGCTGCTTACTTAAATAATAATGACAAATAAATTCAACTATGATTGTAATTGTTATTTAGATATGTAGAGAGCACTTCTTATTTTTGTTGTTACTACTAACCATATTTTAGATTTTATATTATCACTACAAAGTGAAAGCCTCCAATAATTTCAAAACGTAAAAGCTACTATCATTTTTTTTATTTTTATTCCATATCAAACATGCAAAATAATATTGGCTAAATTTTAATTCAGTTAAGTCAATATTGAATGATCTGTGTTTTTTATATTGAAATAGCTATAAAAATGAGAAGGTCATAAAAAATGTTTTAATCTAATTATAGCATAAATAATATGTTAAATTAATCTATTCAATTTAATAATGCAATAACTTTATTTAGAGAAGCATAATGCAGAGATCACATTGTAATAATAAAATAACGTAGTAAAACCTTAAAATACACAAATATTGATAATATACAAATTGATAACTTAACACTCCTCCTCAATTTGTACATATTAAATAAATATTGTGAAAAAAATAACAAATAATAATAATATATATTATAATAATATTATCATAAAATTAGTTCACTAAATTACAAAAATACAAAAAATATGTATAAAAATTTTAGTTAAACAATATATCATAGTTAAACAAAAAAAATTAACATTATAAATTTAAGATATTCCCATTTCTTTTCTAAATTTGAAAAATAATGGTTTTCCCAAAGGTTTTGTTAGAAAATCCACAATTTGTTCCTGTGATCTTAAATGTTTTATTGAAACAACTCCACTATCAATTACTTTCTTAACAAAATTGTATGATATATTATGATATTGATATCAATATGTTTGAGTCTGTTATGTTTCCTGGGTTCTTTAATAAACTTAATGCAAGATTGGTTATCCTCATACATTATGGTGGAAGATAATTTTTGACCAAGTTCCTCTAATAATCTCCTTAGCCATATGCATTCTGACAAGGTTGCAGTAAATGCTACATATTCAGTTTCTGTGATAGATAATGCAACAGATTGTTGTTTTCGACTAATCCAATAAATTGCACACCAAATATTTTGAATAAATAACCTGTTGTTGATCTATGATCATTCACATCACCAGCAAAGTCCAAGTCACAGAATCCAATAATAAGACTGATGATTCATTTCTTAAAAAAAAAGAGTCCAAGATCTTTTTTTCCTTTCAAATATTTTAAAATTGTTTTCAAGTGAATCCAATGTTCATCTGAAGGATTGAACTGAAAACACTAAAATAATTAACCCAATAACAAATATCTGGTCTAAAATGTGTTAAATACATAAGACAACCTATTAACTCTCTATATGGTTTACTTGTAGTTTGGCCTTCATTTTGATATAATGACAGTTTTGCTTCCATGGGAGTCGGTGTTGATTTACAATTTGACATTTTGAAACGTTCAAGTAGTTTTTCAATATATAACTTCTGATCAATTCTTATGTAATCTTTATTATAATTAATTGACATACTTAGAAAATGATTGACTGAACCTATGTCCTCCATTTTAAACTAAGATGAGAAAGTGTTTTTAAGAATTGTAATTTTCTGTAAACAATTTCCTGTAATGAGGATATCATCAACATACAACAATAAAATTTAAAAAAAATTATTTTCAGTTTTTGTGTAAAGGCATGTATCCGAATTAAATCTTTTAAAACCTTCTTTTATAATGAAATAGTCAAATCTCTGATTCCAACATCGAGACACCTGCTTTAACCCATATATAGAACGATTAAGTTTGCATACCATATTATTGTTTTTATAAACCTTTGGTTGTTCCATGAATAAGTTTTATTTTAGATAACCATTTAAAAATGCTGTACGTACATCCATTTGGAATAGATGTAATTCATATTTATTAACTAATGCAAGTAAAGTTCTCACTGTTACAATATTGGCAACTGGAGCATATGTTTCCACATAGTCGATTACCTTGAATTTGAGAATATCCTCTTGCTACAAGTCGAGCCTTATATCTTTCGATTTTTATTTGTTTTCACTTTATAGACCCATCTACATGATATTAACTTCATATATTCTTGTTTTGGCACTATTGTCCATGTTTTATTCAAAATATGTGCCTCCATTTCTTCTTTCATCGCCTCTATCCACTTATCTTTATGTTCATCTTTTATTGCTTCATTGTAGCTATAGGGTACATTGTTGACTATATTTTAAACAGACATAGCTAAAGCAAGTAATGAGGTTTCATAATCATTTAAATATGATGGTTTTTTTGTGTTCCTAGATGGTTGTTGGATTTAATTTTCTTCAACTCTTTATCTCCATTCTCATGTTCTTCTTCAATATTTTCTTCAACATATTCTTCTTTGTTTTCTTCAAATGTAACAATAAGTTTCTCTCTATTACTAACAAATAATTCTTTTGGACTTTTTTTTATATTTTATGATTTGCTGTCAAATTTATTTCTAATATGTTTTGGTTTATGAAGGTATGCAGTAGAACCAAATACTCTCAAATTACTAATATCTGGTTTAATATTTGTCCATAATTCCGAAGTCGTTTGATTATACAAAACTGATGTAGGTGATCGATTAATAATGTACATAGCAGCTAGTACTGCTTCACTCCACATAGACTTATCTAGCTTACTATCAATCAGCATGGAGACCTAGTGCGTTCAACAATTGTTGTTCTATTTAAACGTTCAGCATGCCCATTCATTTCAGCAGTATATGAAACAGTATATTCAATTTTTATGCCTTTTTGTTTACAATCATTGGTGAGAATTTTAGATGTATATTCACCACTATTATCATATCTTAAAGTTGAATTGCGATTATTAAATTTTGCACTTACTAATGCTTCAAACTCTTTTAGTTTATCAAAAGTTTTATCTTTACTTTTAAGTAAATATACCATTGCAAAATGAGTATTATTGTCTAAAAACGTGATAAAGTATTCCATGAATTTGGAGTAACAGGACCACAGATTAAGTAAAATTAAAACTATATTAAAAATATTATTAATATAGTTTTAATTTTACTTAATTAATTAGCCACAAGTGATCAATTTTTATTATTATAGGACCACAGATATCCGTGTAAACAAGTTCTAGTGCTCTTGATGCTCGTGTATGTTTCTTATTAAATGGCCCTCTAGTCTGTTTGTCTAAAATACAACACTTACATTTAATATTATTATTCATATATGTATTGATTGTCAAACCTTTCACCATAGACTTTAATTTCAGCATAGAATTGCCATTCAAATGTCCTAGCCTTCTATGCCAAAGTACAAAATTATTATCATTACATAAATTAACACCATTTTCACGTTGCAAATCGAATTTTAGTTCATAAAATGTTCCATAACGATGACCAATAGCAATAACTCCAATATCATCCATTATTTGTACCATACCATTTGATAATAAAATTTTTAAACCAGTACTTTCAATCTTTCCAGCAGAAAGTAAATTCTTTCTTAAATTAGGTATATATAATACATCATTTATTGTTCAACACATAGTTTTACTATTTATTTTCTGAATTACAGCTACTTTACCAGTTTTTATGCCAAACAAATTTGATCTACTTTTAGCTACACCTATAGTAATTGGATTTTTCAAATTTTCTAAAGACAAAAAATATTTTTCATCATTAATTAAATGATCAGTAGCTCCCTAGTCTAAAAATCATATTATTTTGTTATCATTGTATCAGAAGTATTATAACTTAAAGTGTTAAAAGCAATATTTCTACCAATATCTTCTTCATGATTGCTTTTTGTATAATTGACTTATTTCTTATTTGATTTCCATTTACCTGGTTTCTTTAAATTATCTGCTTTTCTTTTCTTACATTCAGCATATTTATGGCTTGGTAATTTACAATAGTTACAGTTGAACTGAAATGAATTAAAAACAGCATTATTTAATTTTGAACTTGATTCTTTAGAAAGATCATTATTTAAACGTTTAGTTTGTTCATCTAATATATGACTTTAACAAATTCTAAGGTAATTAAAAAGTGTTTCAATTGCTGACATAACCATATTGTATGACTCCGGTAAGGTCAACAATAATAAACATGCCACTAAATCATCTTCTAATTTAGCACCAGCTGATTTGACTTGTCCGACTAACTCATAAAATCTAGTAAAATATTCCTCTATAGATTCATTTTGAGAATACTTACTTAACAATAATTTCTTTAATAAGTAAAGTCTATTAGATATACCTTTTCTTTCAAATGCATTTAATAATTTCTGCCATATTTCATAAGCTGTACAAGATTCTCTTATATACTCAAGATGAGAGTCTGCAATAAATTGCACAATAATAGATTTTGGGCCCTTCTTTTTAAATTCTTCTAATTTAAAAGCATCATTATTTGAATTTCTATCTATAGAAATACATTCTAATACCGCAAGTTCAGCTAATAATGTTTCTATTCTAAACTTCCAACAATCAAATCCAATACCATTAAATTGTTTAATTGATTTTCTTTCTTCCATCTTGCTTATAATTAAAAAAAAAAATACGTTCCTGGGCCCATAACCTGTTCAATTAATCTATTCAATTTAATAATGCAATAACTTTATTTAGAGAAGCATAATGCAGAGATCACATTGCAATAATAAATTAACGTAGTACAATCTTAAAATATACAAATATTGATAATATACAAATTGATAACTTAACAGAATAAGCCCTTAAAATTTAAGAAAAAAATGAGGTGGCTGTGCAACCACTTCTGGTTGATTTAGCATGGATTGACCCATAAGAAACATTTCAATGCAAATCTGTGGATAATGTTTAATTTAAAAAAAATTGGTAGATTATTCCTAAAGCAACATGATCTCCTATTTCCTTCATTATTTCTGATTACTAGTTCTTTGATTTATAAGTATAATATGTGATTAAATATCTTAAATTTAAATTTAATAATTTAGTATTGTAATTTTTACAGAGAAATTATAAAGCTTATAAAGTTACTTTTATGGCAAACGTGTATAAAAATTGAAAGGCCTGATACAAAACTTTTTAGAAGATAATTTGTTGTTAATTATGAATAAATAGTTTACAAGAAATTTTTAACAGAGTCAAAAATTTATATTCTTGAGCAATTTTTCGCACTAATTTCAAATCTGCAATTAGATATTTTAAATTAGTAATACTATTACTAATTAGTTAAAAACTATATGGATTATAGTTCTCAATATTTTAATTATATCATCTATTTAAATACCACATGTTACATAAAAATGATTAGTATTTCTATTGAAATCATTTATTATGATACAAATATAATAAGTGATATTAATGAAATATTAGGTTTCTTTCATATATTTACTGTTAATAGTAATTATATAAGTTCCTAAACATATATCAATCTAAACAAAACCAATTTTAAATCTTTATCAAATTATCTGTTTATTATACTTATATTTATCTAAATTTTTAAAATTAAGGGATTTTTTCCAATATGACTATAACTTCAACTAAATTAAAATTGGTTCATTTGACACATTGATCATCAAAATTGAGAGCTGGTATTTTTTATGGATAGACAAAACACACACAGAATCATAAGATTAGTAACTCTTTAGTTTCACATCAAAACTAAAAAAAAAAATGTAAAAAAATGTACTCAATGTAGCGTATTATAAAGAATGATTATAATTGTAAAAATCCATTGTAAAATTGATATGAAACCAACAATTATTTTAGCTTCGATGCGAAGCGGAGAAGGTATTAATTTTACTATGATGTGTTTTTTTTTTTTTTTTTATGTCTGTTGCCACTTTTTCTCAGCTCTCACTGGACCGATTTCTTTCAAAAATACGTCAAAATATCACAAATCGTATCTATTTGAAGACATTACTCTTAAAAATTGAAAAATATTCCCTCGTTCCCCGCAAATGGGGGAAATATCCAAAAAAATTACAAATTTAAAAATCGCTAATTTTCGACATTTTTTCACTTTTTTTTTAGAATTTATTTATACAGCAACATGTTACCAAAAAAATTGGAATATTATAATCTTTTAGTGAAACTCACTAATAGAGTTAAAATATTAATAAATAACTAAGTTAGATTATTCAACTTTGTAGTTGAAACTTGCCAAATCAAATATAATTCTACTATATATACTTTAATATCATTAGAAATCAATGATTTTAATCTGTCTGTATGGAAAAAGTTAGTAAAAGTATAGATAAAGTAGTAAAAAGCCAAGAAATTAAAAAAATATATATTTTGAAATAATATCTTGAATAAATAATGAATTAATAAATTATAATAAATAGTTGATGAATACTATATAGTAAATATTAAGTTTTGTACAAAATCTACTTATTTCATATATTATTATTCATAATATTTTGTTATGTTTTTATGTATTTATTACATTTTGGTATTTATCTGTATTTATTTGTTTGTTAATAATTAACAATTATTGTGTATAGTAAAATTTAAAAATATAATAAAATATTTATATTTTTCATAATACTCACGACTATACTACCTTATCAAGTGTAATATATATATTTAATAATATTTGTATGTTATTAAAAATATTAAATTGATTAACTGTTTTTTTTTCTTTTTCAATCTATCAGATCAGAAATATTTTGTGAAAATTAATTACTCCAATTAATTTGTACCTTCTTGAGAGAATATGAGAAAACCCGCTTTTTACGCCCAAGATTAAATGAACTTATAAACTAAACCAATTCTATTTTTTTGATAGTTTTTATGATATATATATATATATATATATATATGTGCTTATTTTAATAGCCAAAAGAAGTGTAGTAATTGAACTTGGTGATCCGTATGGTAATGTTACTATTGAAAGAGGAATGACTTCATTAAAATATTATTATGATTTAAATTGTGAAATAGATAAGTGTTTATATTCATTTGGACCTTGTTGGGAACCTGTGATAGCACAATGCAAATTATGTAAGTTTTTTAACTATTAATACAATTTTAAATATTAGCTTTATATTTATTATTATTCATTTTTGTTGTAGGTTTGGAAAAAGTTTTAAGTTCCAGTCGAGATCCAAGTCCACCTTTACCTTTTTGGGATAAAATTCGTTTTTTACATCATGGTCGTTTGACTATGATTGTTCATGAATTCAAAGTTAAATTACATGCTTCTCTTGATCCATATAATACTACTGAGGAAATGGAACTTAATTGGTATGATACAGCAATGGATTGGACTAATGGTAAGAAAAAAATAATTTAACTAAATATAATTGACAGCATTAAATGCATTTTTTCCAGCAAAATTCATGTTTAGAGGTCATTTAAAAGTACTAGTACGGACAGCTTCTAAATATGATGATGTTTGCTTATTGAATCTTCCCTATTTGAAACTAGGAGTTAAATTAAAGTGGTCATGTTTAGGTGATCCTAATGACCATTATTCAGTTATGCCATGCGCTCCTGATAAGTTGCCAGAGTATTCTAGTAATCAAGTATAGTTTTTAAAATTATTTACAAAATAATTATTAAAATTAAATACATTATATTATAATTCAAACATAATATTTATAGGAACATGATTCATACAGAGCATTTCGTTCTCAAAACTTAAATGTTAGTCTCTCTATTGAAACAAAACCAGAATTGAATTCGCCTTTAACAGACTCAGATTACCCTGTTGCTTTGTTTTATGGTAGTACACTGAAGTAAGGATTAATATTTTTAAGTAAAATACTACAATAAAATGTTTGAGTTTTTAATTTAATAGTAAATGACATTTAAATTTTTAATATAACTTTATTCGTTTATTAAATATAAACATTTTAAGTTTCAAATTTTTGAGTTAATATGCATGTATAATACACAAGGGGTTACAAATACAGATAACTAATTGGTTTTTTATAACGTCGATATTTGCACAGGTACAAAGCATTTATTATCAATGGTAGTAAGGCAAATTATTGGGAGCTTATAACAGGCATTATTGTAAGGTTTTTTAGTTTCGATGCGAAACTGAAAAAGTATTAAATTTACCATGATGTGTTTTTTATTTTTATGTCTGTTGCCACTTTTTCTCAGCTCTCACCGAACCGATTTCTTTCAACGATACGTCAAAAGATCACAAATCGTATCTAGTTGAAGACATTACCCTTAAATATTAAAAAATTTTCCCCGCAAATGGGGGAAATATCCAAAAAAATTACAAAAATAAAAATCGGTAAATTTTGTTATTTTTTTCTTAAAACTTCCATAATTTTTTCAAATATTAACAAATCAAAATAATATTTTTTTATATTGAAATCTTAGGTAATTTCCTTTCATTTGATATCATTTTTTTTGAAAATCTAACACTTATTCTGCTCACAGGGAGGGATTTAAAATAGCAACTTTTTTACAAAAACTAACTTTTTCAACTTAACTTTTGAAAATAATCCGGAAATGTTCACAGTTATATTTAATCTTATATTAAAGCATATATTATATACTTTTCTACGAAAAAAAAAAATTCGAGATATACATTTTCTTCTTAGTAAAAATAGCTACCGTATTCAAAAATATGCTATTTTTGTGTTAAAATTCTGGATTTTGCATTTTATTTTATTTTAAAATATCTTACAAGAGGAATACATTGATTTTTATGTATATTATATACATCGTTATTATATTTATATCCAACAAATCTTTAAGTAAATTTTTCTAGGTGGTTTGAAAACTTGAAACTTATCTTGTCTGGTGTTACAAGGCCTACGAGACGGGGTCCATTATTTAACAACAGTAGACTTCGTAAACTAACATTGAGCCGACATTATCGAAAAATTAATTTGTGTGTATCACTACAAAATTTTCAAGTTACTTATTGGATGTCATTTGCTTTACAACGGGGTTTTGAATTGTTTGGTCATCGTATATCCACTAGTTCTGAGCATACGTTGAATTTGGTATCAAATTTTGAAGATGACTTGCAACATCGTTCTCGACCAGTGTGGTCTGTAGGTTATATGAACTGTGAATTGATGGACACTGAAGTATGGCTTAAGAGTGCTCTCCAGCCTGATAAAGAAGACGAAAAAGTGAGCATATTAGTATACATATTTAATAGCTTAAATGACGATTAATAGTAGAACAACTATAATTAGAGCATCAATTTATATGCATTTTATTTATGTTTATAATTTATATTTAGAAAGATTAGTAGACATCTAATTTTTTTTTATTACGTTAAATTTTATTTAAATAAATTATTTTATGTTTACTCCTAACTACATAGTACTTTTACTATTTTGCCAACCAACTACTTTTATCCATTTTGATAATTTTTAATCAAAACATAAATTTATAAACTATAAATTTATATACAACAGGTGACCTAACGGCTGTCATATTATTTTTGCACTTTATGGGTAGTTTAAGTATAGATAAACGAATTTTAGGTTCATAACTAAAAATTCTAACGGAATTCATAATTTCTCATGGAGTATAAACAGTAGTCTTTTACGATGTATTTTGATAAGAAAATAATAACTTAACGATTTTACTTTGAATTTTTTTACTATCTTTTACATGGTTGATTATTTGTACTGTTTGGTAGAGAACGCCATTAGCAAAGACCTAGTGGACCAGTTCCACTAGGTCCGGAAGGTCTGACACTTTTATATATATCTTAAATTAAAGCTAATGTAATATACTTTAATTTGAAAAAAAAAATTTGACCTCTGAACTTGTCTTCGTGGTGAAAATGGCTATGGAATGCTATTTTTGTATGAAATTTCTCGATTATATATTTTACATTTTTTACTTTAAAATGCTATAACTTTTTGAAAAATATATGGATCAATACAATTTTTTTATGGGAAATAATATTTTTTAATAATCCCTTTTTCATTCGACATACTTTATCTTAATTAGGATATTAATAATGAACTAGCAGATCATATAGCTTTTGGAATAATCCACCAATTTTTTAAAATTAAACATTATCTAAAGATTTGCATCGAAGCGTTTTTTTTTTGATAGTGATTTTAATCACTGTCAGATATCATTATACTTGATCCATCTATGCCACATCACCCCTGTGCTGGGTTTTTTTTTATAAATTTAACCCTTTACCAGCCCATAGGGGGTTTCATAATGACAACTTTTTCACAAAAAATTAACTTTTTCAACTTTTGAAAGTGTTCCGGAAATACTGACACTTTTATATATATCTTAAATTAAAGCTTATGTAATATAATATAATTAAAAAAAAAAAATGTTGGGCTTTATTTTGTCTTCATGGTGAAAATAGCTACCGTATTCAAAAATATGTTGCAATATATAATGCTAATGACATTGTATAAAAAGTTAAACATACTTAAATTTTTTTGTTTCTTTGAAGTCGAGAAAAATAACTTCTAAATTTGAACTTAAATTTCCATTTTTATTAAGTAACAAATGCGACGTACGATTTCTGAAATGGTAATACTGGAGTCTTTCACGCCTGTGGCACTGAATTTTTTCATAATTCTTTTTGAGTTAGAAAAAAATGTTTGACACATTTGATTTTTATTTCATTTAGATTCAGTAACTTTATTACTGTAGTCTCCTCTCGTCAGAAGAAATTCATATTAATATTATTTTACTATGTGGTTTTTTTTTGTAGCTACCATTTATTTTCTCAGCTCTCACTTGACCTACTTTTTTGACAATTTTTTTTTTTTTTAACTAAACACTATCTACAGATTTGCATTGAAGCGTTTTTTATGATAGTGATTTTAATCACTGTCAGATATCATCTATACTGGACCCAACTGTGCCGCCACCCCTCTGTGCTGGGTTTTTTTTTAATGTGTGTGCTACTACCAGTCTAAAATATTACAATTTTTTTATAACATATGTTGCTATATAAATCATAAATTAAAAAAAAAATGATTTTTAGTTTTACCTGAATTTAACGATGGATGTTTACAATTATAATCAAATCGAAAAAAAATCGAACTTTTCTGATAAATGTACTGTAAATAGTAATTATAAAATTTCATGATTGCATATATATCTTAACAATTTCAAACTTGCAAGTTGAGCTAAAAGTTATGGTAATATATTCATTTTTTTTTTTTTTAATAAAACTTTCACTTTAAAGGACAAAAAAAGTAGGTTCAAAATGATTACTTTTAACATATTAAAAATCAAAATCAATAAGAATTTGAAAACAATTAATTTTAAAAATTATATAATATATAATTAAAAAAATTACTAATCTGGGTATAGTTAAGGAAATAAAAGTTGATGTTGCTTTTGGAATAATCCANGAAATAAGAGTTGATGTTGCTTTTGGAATAATCCACCAATTTCTCTAAATGAAACACTATCTACAGATTTGCATCAAAGCGTTTCTTATGATAGTGATTTAAATCTATACTGGACCCAACTATGCAACGTCCCCACTATGCTGCGACCCCACTGTGCTGGGTTTTTTTCTTATTATAATATACATAAATATCAGCCAAACTGCATAAAAAAAAACGGTAGCACAGTGGGGTCGAGGCACAGTGTAGATAAGGCATAGATGGGACAAGTATAGATGTTATCTGACAGTGATTAAAATCACTATCATAAGAAACGCTTCGATGCAAATCTGTAGATAGTGTTTCATTTAGAGAAATTGGTGGATTATTCCAAAAGCAAAATCAACTCTTATTTCTTTGATTATATCCTAATTAGTAATTCTTTGATTTTAAAATATAATATATGAATATAAATGCNTATCCTGATTAGTAGTTCTTTGATTTTAAAATATAATATATGAATAAATACTAATTATAATTATTAAATTTAGTATGAAAATAAAAAAGTAAAAAAAATTTAATAAGTTTAATTTCTCATGTCTTATGACCTTTATTCTATATCAATTAAATTATATAATATTCATGAAAGTCAATATATTCTCCTAATAAGATATTTTAAAATAAAATGAAATAAAAAACCTAGAATTTTAATAGACAAATAGCATATTATTGAATACGGTAGCCATTTGCGCATAGAAGATAGGTCGTCGGGACAAATTTTTTTTTTTCATTTTATAATACATAAAATAAGCTTTAATTTGATATATGTTTAAAGGACGCAGTATTTCCGGAACATTTTCAAAAATTAAGTTGAAAAAGTT